CGGGGAATAACACTTGACGAGTCATCAAATTTCACAATTAACTTGACAAAATCCTCTTCTTTTAGATGGAAAGGAAACTTAAAGTGAAGGCATTTTTGTATCGATTACTATTAGTATTACATAGAAATCCAGTCTCGTCATTTCTGCAAGTCTGATTAATAGGAGTTCGTAGACAAATTTTGACATATAATTCCCAAAAATTTTACTAAAAGCACCCGACTTCTTTCATTATAACGAGGATAACTGTGTATTATGTTAATTTTGATTGCTAAATAAGAAAGATAATTTTTTGGTCGTTATCTTTCTTGTTTTTGCTAATTATTTGATAAAGAAATCGAGTTTATTATAGTAAAATAAGCTTTATTCTATTATATTAAAATAGTTACTAAGTAGTAAAATTAATAACATTTTGAAATAAAACTTGTTCGATTTATCTGTTGAGTATGAATGTCTTGCAGTTTAACAGTAATTCTTTTCTGTCCAACTCAAGCGCTTGATATCAAAAATATAGTAAATTTACAACAAAATTACCTGACAGTTACATTTTATTCATTTTTTCTTCGACCGTTAATAATAAAAGCTTGAATTACTTGAAGAACTTGCGTATTTTGTTCGAAGCAGCTGTAACATGCAAAAATACCGAATGTGCACAAATTTTCAAGCTGGAGTCTGAAATGAATTGATTTTTCGAACGCTTGATACATTGAATCAATTGATACAGATACTGTAAGCACATAAATCAAACACCAAGTTCTGAAGCATCGAATAATAAATCAACTTTAAAAAATGTTAATTAAATAAAGACTTCCTCTTTAACGACTCAAATTTGCTTCTTTACATCTGAATTTGCATACGCATAGAAATGTTTTTAGATGGTTTTAGTCTTGAAGTTCTAGTAAACTCTTCAACGCTCCAAGAATATCGCGAGCCAGTTTATAATTATAAAGTTTGTCTTTTCAAAAGAGAGTTGTTTATTTTCTATGTTCTAAATATCCTTTTTTTTTTTGAAATTCTAAATGTGCGTATTTGATTATTAGTCTTCTACAGGTTCCTCATATGTGCATCTATCGAAGAAGTTCGAAAGGTGAAATTTATCATTTTTTCGATTATCTAATTTTAATAAGGTTACAAAAAGAAATATACTAATAAATTAAGAATAAACAATAGCCCTGATAATATTTATGTTGCTGTGCCTGAAATAGGATCTCGCTTTTCGTTGAGATTCGGGGCAACCATCGCAACACTTGCAAACCCGATTGTCGTCGAGATCTTTGTGGACGGAAATCACGATTTCACCTATGACTGTTTAGTTGCTCCAGCTCAAGCAGAAAGGGATGGATTTTGGAATGCAACTCGTGACAAAAAAGCTTACTTCAAATTCTCGAAAACTCTGTGGACCAATGACGAAATTGATAAAATCAACAGCAGCAACTCAATTGACAACAACTATACAAATAATCTTCCGAGAAAAGGTGGGATTGGTGCGATCACATTGTTCTTCTATCTTGCTAGACGTACCCGAATCAAGAACGAAGCCCCTTTCAAATTCACTTTGGAAAAAGTCGCCATAACCGAGTCCAAAGAAAATAAAGGAATCGAATTTTCCACCGAATTTGAAGAGAGATCAGAATCACCACCTCCAGATATCAAAGATGGAAAGTGTACAATGAAACCTGTGGATAATAGTCCCATTGCTGTTCTGAATATTCATTATCGTCCGATGAACTGGCTAATTGCTCGTGGAATAATTGAGCCTGGAATTTATCCTAATATTTTTACTGACAATGTCGATTTTAAAGATTTTCGACCATTACCATCAATAAAGAAAGATGATACTGTGAATGACGTAAAACTAGAGGATGACGTTGTATTTGTCACGAATTCAAATAGTGAATCGTCGTCGTCGTCGTCATTAGACAACATTAAAAAGGAGGAAATTCAAGTTCCGGAAAAACGCAAAGATTCGCACGTGATTATAGATTTGACAGTTCCGAATAAGAAGGTAAAACAAAAATATCAGGAAACTATCGTCATATTGGACTCGGACGATGAATAATTTTTTTAGAAAAGGAAAATGATTGTTTTTAATGCTATTACTTTTTTACTATGCAACCTTATTTACAATTAGTCATGCTCATTCTAGTGTAAATAAATGATAAATTTACATGTCATTGTAAATACGTTCATTCTCCCAAATTTGAGAGACTAATAACGATTCCAACGATACTAAACCACAATAATAATCTAAAAAATTTCTTTTCGAAATCGTTTTCAGTAACGTATTTTTTGTATTTGCAAAGACTAATAACCGTTGAAATTTGTCGTCCAACACATTTTCCTTTTCGCAATATATCTCGATAATTATCGACCAAATCTCAAATGGCCATGTGAATTTCTTTTGCTTCTTTGCTGGATTATTAAACAATAAAGCCCTAAGTAATCGTAATAGTTGCACCGGTGCAATTACATTATTCTGTCGATAGGTAAGATTACGAGACATCAAATTTCGAATCGAGCCCACCAGTTCTTTGACGATCATCTTTTTATAATACGGAACTTTTACTTGATACACAAAACTTGATTCACTTTCGCTTGGATCAAATGAGAAGGATTCTATGCAAGTGTTATCCTCCAAAACACGTCGTAAATTGACTAAATGATTAATGTCTATTCTGGATTTTTTCGCATGCTCGAGTTCCATTATTAAACTTTTTAATGTTCGATTCGTTTTTAACGCCTTTGACATCGCGCTGACTACTTTTGGGGTGATTTCATTATAGGAAATGTCTAATCTTACAATTTTTGTGTTTGTTGCTAATGCTTCACCAAGTTTTACCAACGATGCTTTTGTGAATTTATAATTCATTATTTCTAAACGGGTAATCTCCACTTTGTTTTCCGAAACTAGACGCAATATCTCATTATGTTTCGCGTCCAGACATGAGCTCGCATCGTTTATGTTATCTGTATTTTTTTCGTTACAGAAAGCAATTACGTCGAATTTTCGTGTTGTATGTTGATTTAATGCGTCTACCAGTTCCTTTGCATCGTCGACTGTGTTAAGTTCAAAGTTTCGTAATGTGGTTTCTTGGCATTCGATTGATTCGTGAAATGCTTTGCCGCAAATGGCACAATATGATGGCAGAGTCCAGTAATATCTTTTAAAAATAACAATTTTGTATATATTAGAAATATATCAAAGTATTCCATTTCAAGAAATAGACAATTTACCTTATTAAATCATTAGATTCATCCTCGTTTTTCTCTAGCGATACAAATAAATTTTCACGATGTCCCATCATAAAGTATAGCAACGTCTCTTGCAACACGGTATTTTTATTAGCAACGTCCGCATGGTGTCTTGCGTCGACCTCATATCCTTTCAAATAGGCTTCTATTCGACGATTTGATAATGTATTTAACGGCTCATTGTCGTAACCGATGATGTATGAATTATAGATTGTCGGTTCTATTTTTTTTTGTTTAGTTACAAAGAAAAATATGAATGATTTGGTCGAATATGAATTCTAAGTTATTATATGCAAAATCATTTACCAGGATCAAATTGTTCAAACTTATTCAGCTTTTCTGGTTCTGCGAAAAAATCACACTCAGAAATATCCATTTCTGTTGTGGTAGATGTATTATTATTAGATGTTGATGTGTCAGTTGTTGACATGTTGTTGTTGGTTTCTTGATTAATTGACAAATTAAAAGTTTCCATTTTTGAATGCTATCTATTGTTATCGTTATATTATCTGTTGATTGTAACTAACGTTTGCGCTAATAATCTCCTCTTATATATAAAAAAAGCATTCAATAAAAACTGCGGAAACCTGCGGCCATGTGCTGCGAATTATTACATGGTGACCATTAATTAACCGCAGCTATATTAAATGGTATTGTTCTAAAAAAGTGCATCGATTTTAAGCATCACTTGCATTTTTAATGTTTTCTAAATTCGCATCATTATAATTGATTTGAAAAAACCCGTTTTTTTAAAAATGATTATTTTCGTGGCGCTAAATATTTATGGTTTACGGTATTAGAAGAGTGGGTTAACAAATTACTAGCTTATCACAACCCGACTGTCCAAGTTGCCAAAAATAAAGTCAATATAAAAACATAATTGATATCATATAAAATTAATACAGCATGCGCATTTTCGCTGAAGAAGAAATACATTTTGTATTGTTGAGATTCTCGCGTAACAATTTGTTTGATAGAACGATCAAAAAGGAAGGAACGAATGCTTTTGTTGAAAAACGCAAGCCGAATAATTTTATTTGTTTAAAGTGTCCCGATTATTTTCTACTGACTAAATATACTTGTGGGCACGGTTAAGAATTATATTCAGTAAAGCAAACACTACAAGTATTTAATGATCCATTGTGCAAACACTTAATCGTAGGAGTGAAAATATAGCAAACTATCAAGTAATTCCAACTTGAAAGGGAAACTAAAAATTATATTAAACACAAGATATATCAAAACCAATAATGTTTTTTTAACTTAGCCAAAACTATCTAATTCAATAAATCAATACACTTATTTAAAGTTGAGGTGCTCAATATCAATTTTGTTATGATACAAAAAGATATAAACATCCTCGATTTTTAAGACAAAAAAAGATATAGACCCATTACGCAAGCGAGTTGGTCTGGTTTTGGAGGTTGCGGAGAGTACGGTTGGAGTTGTGTTATCCAATTGGAACCAGCGTAATGATGGCATATTTACAGAATATGGTCCATTATGATAAAAAATATAAATGAATATTAATTATCAAGTATCAGTTCATGGACAAATACTAATAAATTGGAGTATTCAATTATAATTTATTCAGAGTCTTAGAGCTCTTGTTTTGTTTATATACAGAAATTATTAAATGAATTACTAAAGGTTAAGAAATACATATAATTAAAATAATAAAGTTAAACTAGTAAAGTTAAAATAATTAAGTTAATAAAGAAAATTAAAAATCACATAATTAATTATTAATTATATATCTTGAAATTATAAGAAATTGATAAAGTATATATAAATTATAAAATTAAAGATATTAATTTTTAATAATAATAATAATTATTATATATTTATAATTATTTTTAAATTTCTCAAATAGTTTTTATTATTAATTAAATATAATGAATTATTTTTTCTAATTCTATTCTTGCATTAATAAATATTATATAGTTTTTAATATAAATTTAAATTGTAATATTTCTAAGCTATTTTATAATATATTATCTTTATTTCAAAATAATTAATATATAGTTACACCTCTCTAAGTGCATTCTTTCTAAGTGCATATATTATATAACTCCTTTCTAAATGTATGATATATTATAATCTTAGCTTATAAGAGTTCTATATATTTTGATCTTTATAAACATACTTTTTATTTTTTTTACTATAGTTCCAAGAGAAATGTACTTAAGAAGTTATAACTATATATTATAAAATATTAACTAAAAAACAAAATTTTTTACTTTATTACTTTGATTATTTTTTTAATAATTAATCTAATTTTCTTATTATATTAATAAAATATTCTATTTTAATTATAGTTATATCTTTCTAAGCATATCTTTCTTGGAATTATAGTAAAAAAAATAAAAAATATATATTTAGAGAGAGTATGTATTTAAAGAGAGTATGTATTTATAGAGATTAAAATATATAAAGCTTTTATAAATTAGAATCAGAATATATTATATATTTAAAGAGAAGTTATATAGTATATATATTTAAAAAGAATATATTTAGAAAGATTTAATTATATATAACTTTAAGTAATAAATTTTCTAATAAAAATATTTAAATAAATTTATTATAAGTAAATTAATAAATATTAATCAAATTATTATTTTAAATAATTTAATTAATTAATTCTAATTTAAAAATTTTAATTTATTTAGAAAAATTATAAATATTATATAATATAATTTTATAATAATATATTTTTTTTTTTTCTTATATAAAATATTTAATTTTAGTTATTTAATAAAAATAATTATATAATTTTTATCTTTGAAATCTTATATTATATAAAATATTTCTTTTTTTATATAATATTTATTACTATTTTATATAAAAGTTTATATATATTATTAATTTTTTATTAATATATTTAATTATATATTTTTTATTAATATTTTTTAAATAAATATTATATTAAAATTAAAACTAAAAATATTAATATAAAATATAAATAATTTTTTAAAATTTAAAATAAATTAAAAATAATATTAAAATAAAATTATTTTAAATATTAATATTTTTAATATTTTTTAATTTAATTA